TTTAGGTATAATTGATCAAACATTCGATTCCTACCAACAACTTAAAAAAAACCTCCCTCCCTCAAACTCTTTCATGTTCAAAAAATAATTAATAAATTAATATTTTAAATACTATTTAATGAAAAATTAAAATTTTAATAATATTAATTATAATAATAACCATACATCATTCTTTTGTTTGAAAAATTAAGTTAGTTGGTCGAACGGCCCATTCGGTCCAGTGATATTGGATCCTGAGTTAGGATTGTTCACCTTCGTAGATTGCATGTTCGAATCTCACGAAATCCCTTTCTCCTTCTCCCAATTAACCCTATAAACAATTACAAATTATTCAAAAAAAAAAAAAAAAATAGTTGGTCGTAGCCTCAGGTAGCGCACAGAATTGTCTGGTATGGTAAACGAAGGTACTGCTACCTGCTATTGTTTTCTCTTGTTCTGAGCCCCTTCTCGTAAACGTCATCTATGATCCATTGGGGAAAGAAAAAAAAATCTATGTTATATCTACAGGACCAAAACCAAACCATTAACAAAGTCAAAAACTTTACGTATAAATTTTAAGATAATTTTTAGATAATGTTTGTCTACTTTATATAAAAAATTAATTTTCTTTTGGAGTACAGCTAATGTTCTCATCGATTCCTAGTTTGAACCATATTGGTAAGCAGTAGTACTAGGAATAGTTATTTTTTTATTAAATTATAAAATAAAATTAATTTAAAATTGAGAAATTTTATAAAAAATTAAGAATAATTAAATCTTAATATTTTATTTTTTTACATTAATAAATAATTATTAAAGAGTATTTATTTTTTAAAAATAAAAATACATATTTCTCAGTTATTAATTAATTTAATAGATATTATCAATATTAAAATTTAATTATTTTTAATTTTTTAAATAAATTTCTCTTATTTATTTTTTTATAATCTGACTAAAAGATAAATATCACTATCAATCACACATGAACTAGGTGCCATAAGAAGTGGGCGCACTATTTAATGAGGGAAAAAAAATGTTCTCTTCAATCAATAGTTGTTTAGGAATGGTAATGGGGTGAGGCAGGGGTAGGGGAAGAAGATGGGGGGCCATCCCCGGATATTTAGACTTCTGTAAAAATTTTAGTAATGAGCAAATTCTTTTTCTGTCACATCTCCGAGGAATATAGGATTCCTCCCAGCCAATTTCTTGAAAAAGGAAAAAAATTTATAATTCAAGAATTAGCACACTACATAGAAAATCAGTCCCCGAATAATAAAAATTTAATATTTCAGTGATTGGATTCAATTCCCTTACTTATTTCTAAGATAAAATCTAAACACATTTGAAAATTTTCTGTGTAGGTTTATAGAATGAAGATATAATAATGTAAAGGGTTGAGGTGTTTTTTGTACCATCTTAATAAAATCATTTATTATCAATAATTGTTTGATTGAGTTGATATTTTTTAATTAAAAATTTTTTATTTATAATTAAAAT